ACCTAGACCTATCCATCAATCTGTGACATTATCTAGACCTATCCATGATCTCTTAGTGTAGTTCCATTCACCTTACAAGTTCTCAAATAGCATTAGTCACAGCATGACATCATAATTTACTCTGGATTATGAATTGTTTTGTTCCTTAATGGAGTTTAGATATATTTTTACATGACGATATGACAGTTAAAATTGGTGATTTTGGACTAGCTACTGTGAAATCAAGGTGGAGTGGGTCTGAGAGAATGGAACAACCTACAGGATCCATCCTATGGATGGTAAGTATTAATGTGTAACATTTCATCTATGTATAGGATCCCCCATGGATAGTAGGTAGATTTATAGAATTAATTCTATGGCTAATATAACAATAGACTATAGCTACATAAATGAATATGTATGTGTGTCCTATGGATGTTAAACCACTGTACATCCATTTCTACGGGCTCTGTGCACGCTGCTGTGAAACACTGGTCGAGCCGGTGAAAATTCGAGAAAACAACACAAACTCAACTTTTATATATGTTAGACACGTAGGGCTAATCTCGTTACACTGTTCAGGGGAGTCTCAACAACCATCCCAAAGTATGACTTTGATCATTGGACAGATTACAGGCTTTCTACGGCTCTGAAAATCTGGAATTGAAAGGTGTACTAGAACACAAAAATAAAGGTTACAGGTTATAAATAAATACAAGGAAAGCTCACCATGTCCTCCTAAGCTGCACTACACGAATAAATAGCGACTACATACAGGTAGTAATAGGCAATACACAATCAAAATAGTGACACAGTGACCACCCAAATATTTGAAAAAACCTGAAGTGAGATAAATATTTAAAATATTTAACTGAAACTACAGCATGAGAAAACAACACTGTTCAAATAGTAGTATACTAAACCCCCAAATGATTTTGCTAGATCTGGCAGATTCAATCAGAACAGCATGACTGCAACTACGTGCTAGATAAAAATGACTAGTTCTACAAGAACAGTGAGCATTGTAACTAAAATGAAATGTGAGCAATGAAATGTGAACCATTAGTAGGTGCTTACTCTGCTTGGGGGGAGGGTGCCCACCTAAAAAGCAAAGCCCCCAAACAATTCAGTTGACCAATTGCAGAGAGAGACAGACAGAGTCAATGTCATTATTTAGTGAACATCACGATCAGATCAAAACTGGCATCCATGCTTGCCACTGGGATAGAGGTTACGGGAAAATCAATGCTTATCAACTCAAATCTCACAAACAGTGGGTATGTTTTATTATTTCAGGCACCGGAAGTTATTCGTATGCAGGATAGAAACCCATATACTCCACAGTCAGACGTTTACGCATTCGGTATTTGTCTGTATGAGCTCGCTACCGGTCAATTACCATATTCAAATATCAATAATAAAGATCAGGTAAGGTTTGGGCTGAAGATTTATGTCATCTTCTTCAAGCTGTCATAGTTTTGGGTAAACACATTGCCTGCTAAAAGCCTTCATTAAAAGTTGTAAAGAATGAGAAGAAAACAACATCAGTGAGCGATGTGATGGTGCCCTTAAGATCCTAGGAATTGTTGTCACAAGAACAAAAACAAAGAGTCCAAAATATCATAGAAAGTGACAACAATGTTTCATGTGTGATTTTTTAGACTGGGCAGTTTACATTCAAACAAGACAAACTGGTCTAACAAAATTCTATTTTTTCTAGCATCACACCAATTGTAAAAACCAGGGACATATCTCATTCTACTCTGCTTGAGTGTGTGCAAAGAAATATTTTTAATATACATGTATCTTTCTTTATTGCAAAAAAATTTGAGCTAGAAGTTGGGGTAACTTTTTCATTAGAAATGGCATTTTAACTGTTCTGCAATTTGTTTTTTGCCCAGACCGACCTTGTTCAAACTTTAGATATACTAGGTAGGTGGAAAAAATTGGCAAATATTCCTGTCCTACATTGCCATGGCAATGGCCAGTGGATCGCTGATCAGCATTTGCTTTAGAAAATAAACAACCTAATAAATTTAAAGCATAGTTCATTAATTGAAAAAAGAAAGAGTTTGCTTTGAACAAGGATTTTAAAGAATATAGTCAATATTATATAATTGTTTGATAGAAACTTTTCAGGGTCAATCTCTCAATCCACCACCATCCTCAAACTAAAAGAATTATGTTTTTTCTAACTTATCATATAACACAGATATAATATTTGCATATAGATACTATAAATGCATTAATTATTCACTGGGTTTTAATTTCACAATTTTCACTGATGAACATGTAAAATAACAATAGAATTCATTGTTTTACTTGCAAATTGGTGAACTTAAAACCCGCTGAGTATGTTAAAAAAAAATATTGAAACTAAATGGTTTTGCAGTATTCCACTTTTGTTATATAAATGATGTTCTTTTGTTTCAGATAATATTCATGGTTGGTAGGGGTTACCTTTCTGTAAATCCAGAAGATGCACGAAGTGATACTCCTAAAGCATTCAAAAGATTAATGGCTGATTGCTGTAAAAAGAATCGTGACGATAGACCATTGTTTCCACAGGTAAAGACAATCGTATTAGTCATATCATATTTTTGTCATTGGAAAGAACTTGAATAACGTCAAGAGGGTTTTCAAGTGTTGATTATTGCAGTGAGACATTCCCTGTCTGCTTTATTACCTAGACATATTGTGTACTGATATTTATGTTATGCTATGTTCTTGTCATCAGGTCCTTGCATCTTTAGAACATTTAGCAAGATCATTACCCAAGCTTCATCGCAGTGCATCAGAACCGGTATCATTAAATAGGACTCGTCTACAATCTGAAGATTTTCTTTATTACTGTCCCTCTCCAAAGACACCTCTACAGAGTCAATTCCCTGCATTTGGCTTTGGTTATCCCAATCTATAGTTTGGACATTTCATGCTCTCTCCCAAACTGTACATTGTTGAAGTACACTTGTTTCAAAGTTATTATAATATTGACCTTTCAACTTTTATGTGAGTTTATTTATCATTCTTCATATGCTTTACTCTTCAAACCAGATTGAAGCAAACAAAAATGATGTAGGTATTGTGAAAATCATTTTATTTTATCACACTTGCCAATATACAGTCCATTTTTTTGTTGGTTTGTTGTGTCTAATCATGATCCGTTGTTAAAATACAGCTCACAGATTCTCAGTGTATTACTAAAGTTACTAGCGTTAATTAGATCTGTTGTGAGCCTGCCAACAAAATCTACTCAAAAGTATGAATAATATATTGCTTATTGGGATGTAATTATGTTAGTTTTATATTTTCTGAAAGGTCAATGACTTACACTGAAACAGGTGTTTTTTAACTTCACACATGAATAATGGCTGCTTGATTTTACTGTAGGGGTTTATAGCTTTAAAATGCAGGGGCTTAATTTCTGACTTTGCTGATGGCGCTTCCTCACTCGGACCCTCCCATTACATAAACGAGGAGAAGTATTTTATAATCATTGAACACATATCATTTACATATGTTTGCATATCACTGTTGTAATTTGCATATTACCCTGGCAATTTGCAATGTTGCCATGGTAATGCTAATTTGTGATATTCTATATATTATGTGAAGCAATTTTAGGCTAACCAGAACTCAAACTGTGACATTGAAGGCTATAGAAAAAAAACAAGAGTTAAACAATGAAGGTTATTTAAAAAAACAAAATGTCAACTCATTTTGCTTCCTACCATGTCTCTGTCATGTCATTTCTAAAATGTCTAATGTTTGCTTGTTTTCAAGCAGTATCAGGTTTGGTGAAAAAGTATTATAAAAATGTTAAAAAATAACCCAAATGTAAAAATTGTTAAACTGAAAATTGTTATAGAAAATTAATGGCTATGTTGAGATCAAGAAATGTCTCACTGGAATTTGGGTCTCAGATGCTATTATCAGTATCACTTGCTACCGGGACCGATGCTAGTTTTTTTTCTTTCTATCACATTCATTAGAAGTACCACAAAAAACAATGGCTACAAACTTAATCCTACATTGACATAATGGTATTACTATTTCACAAATTTCTGTAGAACAATGTTGCTGCATTGAATTTCTCTTCTGCCTGTGCCCATTCCAATCGTAGTCTGTTTGTCACATGACAGAGTCACTTGTCATTTTGTTGCTACACATCTGAGCTTTTCATCACGTCAAGTCAAGCACATTAATGTATACAAACATAATTCAAAAATGACCAAATTTTTTGCAGTGATTATATTTACATTCAACACACCTGTACAATGTAGCTATTAATATAAATTAATTAAAAACAAAACAAAATTATACTTTGAGTTTTCCTTAAAAAAGGAGAGCATTATTTAAGAGTTGTGCATTGTCTACTGTATATACCAGGCAGTCGAGCTGACCATACTTATTTTTTTAATAATATATATATGATTAGCTTTGCTTTTAAACAAGTATGTTTTTTTAGCTTTTGAATTGATATTTAAATGTATGTTTCATGTATATAGTTGTATTCTGTGTAAATCTTATCTAGACATGCCTTTGTTTCAGTGACAGTGTACAATCATAATTTTGTTGATTTCAAAAAGATTGGTACTGTTTATCTTTTAGTGCTGACTATTACATTTTTTTTATAAGCATTACAATGGCTAGTCCTCACTTGCAACAATTTGTTATGGGATAGAAAACCTGCAATATATACAATGTACTGTCAGCCATTCCATGCAGCATATGCATACCTCTGTCTGTCAGCCTTGTCGTGCTGTGCCGCGCTGCATGCCTCAATCTTTCAGCTGTGCCTTGCAGCACTGCATGCCTCCATCCATCGGCCGTGCCATGCTGTGCAGCGCTGCATGCCTCAATCTTTCGGCTGTGCTTCGCAGCACTGCATGTCTCCATCCATCGGCCGTGCCGCGCTGCATGCCTCAATCTTCCGGCTGTGCCTTGCAGCACTGCATGCCTCCATCTACCAGAGCATCCGGATGTCTCCATGTGTGTACAACATATAGTATCTCTGTCATTCCAAGAATAGTCATGTGTGTTTGAATATATGAGTTGTATGAATTGCATGGCACCCATATAAAACACACTTTAATATAACTATATGTCTGAGAGAGATGATGCTCATTAGACTGAAATATGTAAATGATCTAATTAGTATGCACATGTAGTTGTGTATAACATTAACACAACACCGTCCATCGTGCCAAAATACTTACTAGCATGCTTAGTTCTAGGCTTTTAATGCATTAATATCTACATGGTTGATAGTCATGGTTGATAGTCATGGTTGATAGCCATGGTTGATAGCCATTCTAATTTTAATCTGCTTTCAGGAGAAATCTAGTTTTCTGAAATGTTTAGCTTCAAACTTTCTGAAACTGATTATACCCTTCTTAAATGCATTTACTTACATATTTTGGGTGAAAAGCAATCTGTTTTAAAAAACATCACATTCCTATTTCATTTTGGTATCTTTTTTTTTTTCAAAGCATATATCTGTCAACAAGTCATGTCTTTAAATTTGTATTGTCAACAAAGCTTTTCATTTTGAGCAACTTATCCAAAAATCAAATTTGAAAATGACATTGCTTGCAAGTTAAACTGATCCAAATCTGACATTGTGCAACTTATTGACTTATTATCTTCACTGAAATAAATCCCATCATGCATTGCTGATCATATTCTACCTTGTCTGCGTGCACTGTTCACAGCTAACTTGGAAAGTATGTAATGTACAATACTGATTTTGTAATATATCCCATCTTTGATCATCAAATATGGAATCCATACCTTATGAATGCCTTAACTGTTGAATATTCTTTCACATGTCAAAGGTTTCAATTTTGCTGACATTACAACTTATTATTTCTATGATTATGCCATCACATTGCTCAATTCTGATGAGTACATCACCTAATTTTAAATTGTAAAAAAAATGTTTCAGCGAGTTTGACTCCAATTCAAATGTAGGTAATTCAGTATAAACTATTTTTACTTCTCTGTGTAAAATTACAATAATACAATGAGAATGGAAGAGTGTCTTGTACCTGTCTAATGAGGGTATTTGATTCAAATCCCATACTTGACTATTCTCCAATTACTTATCTTCATCCTTTATTCCTCACAATGCAAAGGGAATGTCTATATAAATCTGAATATTCTTAGTTTCTTGTATTCAATATTGTCTGTACTTGAGCCGTAGCTATGAGATTATATGTTGCTACATATATATGCTGACAGAACCTTGCCTGTTATCACACTGTATTTTAGGACTGGACTAACTTGTGTGAAACACAAGGGGAAAGAAGAATATTTTTTAAAAAATATTTTATAATAAAAATATAAAAATGGATGATATTAAAGACTTTTAGTTATCTTCCATGGTGTTTTAGTAATGTATTTATTAGTGGACTGTGAGGGCGCTTTGTAACTCTAGCTTTAAGTATTGTAATTAGTATTTTGATGAATTACAGTGCCCTCTGTAGTTTGTTTTTTAAGATTCCGCTCTTGGTGTTTCTATCCTCCGGTAGTTACAGAATTCATTCATTCATTCATTCTTGCTTATATTTGATGTATATTTGTTAAAGTGCCTTAAATATTTGAAGGCTTTTGATAGAAATTGTCGGTCAATATCTTAAACATTGTGTTTTTTTTTATTTAGCGCCAAAGGCTGTTTTATATTTCATCGCAAACTCTATTCCCTATGAATTCAACTGTTTGTTTCAGTGTTCAAGTGTTGCTATATGTAGTGTTATGTTTCAATGTGGAACATTATGTTGCCATATTTGGGGGCGTCATGTTTCCATATGGAATGAATTGACAGCATTGTCGTGTGTGGGGGGGGGTATATTATTTTTCCATATGGGGTGTCTTTTATTTCAATGTGGATTGTTTCTTGTTGCCATATATGTTGAGTGTATTGTCTTGCTGTGTGGCTGTATTATGTCATAAAATCTGACATTTTAGCGTGTGTTATTTGCTTGAATCACTCTTATTCTTGTGCAGTGCATACAGTAATTTTCAAGAAATAAAAAAATAGTATATATTTCAAAAATGGCAGTCATGTGTAATCACTATCCCTGATCATTTTACTGTTTGTATATTGTTTTATAGAAATGCTTAAATTCCTCTATAAGGCTACTGTAGTCGTATGATGACCTTGTACCAAGTTCAGCTGACTTTACCCGTGACGGTATCATCATAGTTGAAGGGAAATATATACGAAAGGAAAATGTCTGTCTTTGTATGTTCCACTGATATCTCAAGAGCCGCTTGTCAGCTTTCAACTCTCCTTTGAAGTCACACAAATTAGCATTTATCACACCCGTTGAGATGCCTTGGTTTGCACATCTGATTTACACTGCACCAGTAACTCTGTGTGTATTGGAGGCAGTGCTGGGCAACATGTGGCTGATATACTGGCATGTTGATTTCCCATTTTAGAGCCATGTTTTAAATTTTGTTTGAAACCCTAACTCTAGCTTGCATTTTTTTTCATTGGCCTAATAATATCTGAGACAATTTCACACTGTGAAACACAAAATGAATAGCGCCATCAGTGTTCAACAATTCCAAAATGGCTGTCACGTCATGTCAGCACAAATGAATCGAGCTGCAAAGTAGGTGGAAAAGAGGTGAAAACTAAATATTCACGACAAATTTATTTCTGTGACGTGACGATGTTTGAAGTTCAAAATTTAAGGTTAGGGTTTCGTTTCATTTCGTTTTAAAGAAAAGACTAGGCCATTTTGTTGATCTTTTTTATATAGCAATCTCCTCATATGTTAACATTGTCGTCTATGCAGTTCCAATAAGTGGTATGAGCCCACAAATGTCCATGCACAATCATTGACTATTCTATGTGCTAATTAATATGCTAATTAACTATGATATGTTCATCTACATGGACAAGTTGACTTACCAAGTCTTACGACTGGTATAATTTCAAGGATAATTTGACATGACTACAGAATCCTGTCTGCCAAGGCTACACTAATTACTTATGGTTATGGTTTTCCATGTCTTGTTAACCAATGCCTAGTCAACCTATCTTTGTACCCTTCAAATCCTTTTAAATGTACTGACAAACTGAATAGATGGCTTGTAAGGAATATCACAGACAGACTTTCACTCATCTAATTGCTTAAAGGAACCAGGCCTATGCTATGGCTGCCTTCCAACTAATCAAGCCTATGGTAACCAAGGGAGGTTTTTAAAGGCAAGAGTAGAATTACCAAAAGTAAACCAGCAGTGGACAAAAAGGCTTTACCTAATGAATGTAACATGTTCAAATTCACACTATCAGCGGTAAAGCACGTCTATGATCTATGTGTACCTTCACCTTCTACTTCAGTGAACAACTTCAGTTCCATGCAGTACGTTTGCCACAGGACCTGGTAAAGGCAAAGGCAGTCAAGATGTGAGTATCCTTTTCCAAAGGAGTCAAAGAACTTAACGCTAGGAGGCTTACCATTTGGCTTGAAGATTTGTCAACAAAATATTGCATGTGAAGTGTTGCAGAGAAGAAAATGTTGGCACGTTCAATAATATAAAAATGTACAGATAAGAAGTACTACACTCTTCCAGCCAACCCCCCAGATTTCAAATAGTTGACCAATGATGGTAGACTTCTGAATCAATTTGTTGACCTACAGTCTTTCTACATCATCATTCCTGACTATATCAGACAGTGTGTCAGGCTGTACAACTTCATGCCAGAAGCATGTTCATCTACCAATAAATAAACCACTGATTTTTCCATCACTCGCCAGGAAAAACCCTGTTGGAACACTATATGTACACACTATGACTCCTGGGGTCACTTGGGTTTGTAGTCAGTCAAGGGAAATCTCAGAGAAAACGTCTAACTTAGGGGAGATTGGGAAATCAAGCTGGTGGTGCACTCTGGCCATTATACAGCAACAAAATTCAACTGCACCAAAAGCTTAGAAACTAGTTTATAATATTTAAAAGAAGATCACTGTTTTATTTGCTAAAATTTCGCTAAAATCTTTTAATCCATTTCCAACAAAATGTTGAAGGATAAATATATTACTAGCTATCTATGCCAAGTTATCAAGATTTGTCCTAGAATTCATTAAACTTGTGTATATGGGTGCCGATGCTTATGGGGACGTATTCTGTGGAAATACTTGGTATCTCTGGCTACAATGTACCTTTATGACAGGGTCATTTTATGAAAGTTACTGAAAATCACACAACTCTTTTATTTCCTATTTTATTGTAAACATGTTGAGCATAAGCTGTATTTGCCATTGGTGGTGTGCTGTGATGAATGGAGTATGCAGGGTCAAATACCAGTGTCCAACTTTGGATGGTTGCCATTGGTGGTGTGCTGTGATGAATTGAGTATGTAAGATCAAAGACCAGTGTCTAGCAAGGGATGGTTTCCATTGGTGTTGTTTCTGTCATGAATGGAGTATGCAGGGTCAAATACCAGTGTCCAGCTTTGGATGGTTGCCATTGGTGGTGTGCTGTGATGAATTGAGTATGTGGGATCAAAGACCAGTGTCCAGCAAGGGATGGTTTCCATCGGTGTTGTTTCTTTGATGAATGGAGTATGCAGGGTCAAATACCAGTGTCCAACTAGAGATGGGTACCTTTGGTGGTGCGCTGTGATGAATGGAGTATGTAAGATCAAAGACCAGTGTCTAGCAAGGGATGGTTTCCATTGGTGTTGTTTCTGTGATAAATGGAGTATGTAGGGTCAAATACCAGTGTCCAACTAGCGATGGTTGCCATTGGTGGTGCGCTGTGATGAATGGAGTATGTGGGATCAAAGACCAATGTCCAGCAAAGGATGGTTTCCATTGGTGTTGTTTCTTTGATGAATGGAGTATGCAGGGTCAAATACCAGTGTCCAACTAGAGATGGGTACCTTTGGTGGTGCGCTGTGATGAATGGAGTATGTAAGATCAAAGACCAGTGTCTAGCAAGGGATGGTTTCCATTGGTGTTGTTTCTGTGATAAATGGAGTATGTAGGGTCAAATACCAGTGTCCAACTAGAGATGGGTACCTTTGGTGGTGCGCTGTGATGAATGGAGTATGTAAGATCAAAGACCAGTGTCTAGCAAGGGATGGTTTCCATTGATGTTGTTTCTGTGATAAATGGAGTATGTAGGGTCAAATACCAGTGTCCAACTAGCGATGGTTGCCATTGGTGGTGCGCTGTGATGAATGGAGTATGTAAGATCAAAGACCAGTGTCTAGCAAGGGATGGTTTCTATTGGTGTTGTTTCTGTGATAAATGGAGTATGTAGGGTCAAATACCAGTGTCCAACTAGTGATGGTTGCCATTGGTGGTGCGCTGTGATGAATGGAGTATGTAAGATCAAAGACCAGTGTCTAGCAAGGGATGGTTTCCATTGGTGTTGTTTCTGTGATAAATGGAGTATGTAGGTTCAAATACCAGTGTCCAACTAGAGATGGGTGCCATTGGTGGTGTGATGTGATGGGTGGGGTTTGTTGGTTCAAATACCAGTGTCCAACTAAGGATGGTTGCCATTGGTGGTGTGCTGTAATGGATGGGGTTTGTAGGTTCAAATACCAGTGCCCAACTATAGATGGTTGCCAGTGGTGGTGTGATGTGATGAATTGAGTATGTAGGGTCAAATGCCAGTGTCCAACTAGAGATGGGTGCCATTTACGGTGTGCTGTGATGGATGGGGTCTGTAAGATCAAATATCAGTGTCCAACTAAGGATGGTTGCCATTTACGGTGTGCTGTGATGGATGGGGTTTGTAGGTTCAAATACCAGTGTCCAACTAGAGATGGGTGCCATTGGTGGTGTGATGTGATGGATAGGGTTTGTAGGTTCAAATACCAGTGTCCAACTAAGGATGGTTGCCATTGGTGGTGTGCTGTAATGGATGGGGTTTGTAGGTTCAAATACCAGTGCCCAACTATAGATGGTTGCCATTGGTGGTGTGATGTGATGAATTGAGTATGTAGGGTCAAATGCCAGTGTCCAACTAGAGATGGGTGCCATTGGTGGTGTGATGTGATGGATAGGGTTTGTAGGTTCAAATACCAGTGTCCAACTAAGGATGGTTGCCATTGGTGGTGTGATATGATGGATGGGGTTTGTAAGTTCAAATACCATTGCCCAACTAGAGGTGGTTGCCATTGGTGGTGTGCTGTGATGGATGGGGTTTGTAGGTTCAAATACCAGTATCTAGCTAGGGATGGTTGCCATTGGTGGCATGCTGTGATGGGTGGGGTTTGTGGGATCAATTACCAGTGTCCAACTAGTGATAGTTGCAATTGGTGGTGTGCTGTGATGGGTGGGGTTTGTAGGATCAATTACCAGTGTCCAGCTGGGGATGGTTGCCATTGGTGGTGTGCTGTAATGGACGGGGTTTGTAGGATCAAATACCAGTGTCCAACTAAGGACGGTTGCCAGTGATGGAATGATGTGATGGATTGGGTTTGTAAGAACAATTACCAGTGTCCAACTAAGGATGGTTGCCATTGGTGGTGTGGAGTGATTGGTCGGGTACATGTATACCATGATCACTCTCCAAACAGTAGTTGCTGTTTTTGATGATCATAGAGTAGTGAATGGGGTCCATAGGTTAAACTCCACTCTGGCCATTTTCAATGCAAGTAACACTGCAGTGATTACTGGGCTGTACACGATGAATGATTATAGGGTCATGGCTTTGGTAGTTGTCTACTATGGACTATACAGAATCAGTGGCTTTTCTCGATGTTAGGATCATTGTACCGTCATGTACTTTTAAATTTAGTAGTTGTGCTGGTGACTGTTTACTATGACGGTTGTTTGATATAGAATATGTGTGAGTTTGCATACACGTTTTGAATTTAAAATATTAGATCATCAAATCTTTTTGATAAACAAATAATATTTTATTATCGCCACATAATTGTATATACATAATATATAGCGTTCTGTTAAATGCAAGTCACAATGTTCACTTGAATGTTTGCTATGAATTTGTCGTCTGTTCACATATGGTGGTGCTCAAATGCAGCAGATTTGTCATACGGTTAGTACACGGATTGAAAACAAATATAACTGATTTAATTTCGCCTTGCTTACAATTGTTATTATAAATTATTTGTCATTTTTCTTTCGTGCCAAAGAGCTTCATATGTTTCAATGACGTAGTATTCATGCGATAGCAACTAATGTGACGTCATGGCAAAGAACTTTACAAAACAGTGGCGCCGGCCTCGGGGCGGTCGCCCACCCGAAAAGAAATCAAGCTGAAACCCTTTGTGTCAGCAAAATTTGCCCCTCAAAATGCAAGAAATATCGTTTCAGAGGGTCTATATTTCAGACCTCGCCCCCCATGCAACATTTCGTGTCGCCGCCTCTGATTGATTGACGTAAGAAACGACATAGCACGACTTTCATGAGATAAACTACTTTTATGAAGTGACAAATATTTACATCCATTCTGGCAATATTAACAACATAAACAGTTGACAATGTAACCGGAACCTTTTACATAACATAATAAAGTACGAGAGTAATGGAAATGGTTTATGATGTGGTGTATGGATAACTGATAATATACAACATTCTGTCACTGGATATGTAGATGTATTATGATGACAACGATTGAAAGATATTATGAAATACCATCGTAAGAATGTGTAACTGATACTTGTACGGTAGTATAGATACTATAATATTATCATAAATACACGTGTGCTCACTGGATTGCTTAAAATCTATATCAATACATTAACATGTGTGCAGTGATGAAATATAAAAACAGTTCCATATGTATTTATATGAACTGCCTAACATTAATATAAATGTCTTTGTTGTTTATCTATTACAGTTTTTGTACAAAGCTGTGCGAATCGAAAGTTCTTCTTTGATGAGACAAGCGTATCGATTGATCGACCATTCCCACTTCGCAAATATCTACCCATGCCACGTATACCTTCGTCTTCTAAGGTCAAGGACAGTAAACCCAATGGCGCAACATTCACGCCACAATCGTTCACTTGATCATTCTAACTAAAATAAGTCGATTTTAAGCTTTAAATAATACAAATTTGCAGTTTATGTTTATGCACTAAACTTTATATTATATGAGAACATTTACATTCAACTTTTACTGGCTTTTTAATCACTTGTTGCCAATGAAATTGTTCCTTGTATCTGCCGTGTGTCGTATATGAGCTATTCATGCAATTATACATACACTCATTTTGATAAAGTCGCCTATTATGGATATATCATGTAGTTTAATTAATACAAAGAATGATCCTATTTCTTCTGTTGATTTAGGCGGGGTTAAAATGACCTTTGAATATCATTAATACAGTATATGTTATATATATATAATTATATAATTCTTTAACGATAGACATGATTTTGTGTAAATGAAAAAAACTCTGGAACAATGTCAGCAAATGGGACTCCTATTTCCTACCCCATTCGTGGTTTCCCTGGCTACAAAGTTTACTATTGTTGACTTTCATTTGCAGGTGTATCTGTCAATCATCGTCTCACACGTGTTACATTTCACATAGCAACACCAAATGAACTTGCAGCCGCATCGTTCAACGTAGCGAACAACCTGTGTGTTATAACCTCGTCCGCAGCATAACAAATCACAACTGTCTGCTAGTAATGAGGTCCTGTTGCACTCCCTACCACTGGTACCAGGGACCCCGTTTAATGTATCCTCCATGCAGTAATTCGGCGACTGGTCCATATAAACCATCTCCGTAGTATTGATAGGAACTTTGCGGTTCTTTCTGTCTTTTCGTCGCAAACGTTTTTTCGCTCGAGGGTGAAGCTCGACAGAAGATTCGTACCTCGTCTTAAGATAGTCGCCAACATTCGGAAAATGAGGCATAGTTTTCCAACAAGATTTCACATTACAAGAACCAGAAACACCGTGGCATCTGCACTGTATGTCCATCTGCTCTTCAATCGCCTGCAATGAAAAAATGCAAAAACAGATTTACTATTTTGCTGACAAGTCACGGAGCAAAAATAATGAATACTTGAAGTTAATTCTTGTCACGTTTGTGTGTCTGTGTATGGGTGGATGCTCTGGTGGGATGTGTTCATAACGCTTCTGTTGATTTGGCGTACTGGGTGGTATACTCAGTATACAACTTGGTCTTAGTGATTAACCACCTAAAGAATATTTAACAACTTTCTCAATTTCAGGCGAACATGCCAAATACATTCTACGATGAAGGAGGTATCACACACAACTTGTGTGCATTATACACCTTGTCTTGTTGACATTTGCGTTGTTTTCTAATTTAATTTCTCGGTCGACGTTCTTGTGCATACCAGACAATGCAATGTAATATGTCACATAGTCACTGATGAATGCTGACAATGTTGCAATGTTTATCTACAATGTGTCTAACATGCCGGAACTGGTTCAACACGGTGATTTTATTGGTCGCCACACCTGCTTGACCATTTTCTCGTCATCTTTTCTGTTTGTCATATAATCCGTAATGCACCATTAATATGTATTTCTATATGTAGCAATGTATGCCAAATGGAACTGAGAAGTGTAACTCAAAAATGTAACTATGTCAAATGCAGCAAAATTACTAAAACGTGCAAGTCAAAAATCTATTTTTTTTCACTGAAAAAAAACATCGTAATGAGTCGGTAAAGCCTGAAGTATTGTCAAATACTTTTAATTGGTCACAATTAATTATGTCGTTTACGCTGAAATGCGAGTCCATGCACTTGGCGTCTTGAAATGACAGGCGCCAGGGAGACTCGCAAATCGTGATTGAAATTTGTCAAGGGTCCCTTTTATCATTTTAAAGTTCAAAAGGTCGCCACTTAGCTCATTGGACAAGGAGTCCTCTGACAATTTTCGCCAAATGCCAAAAGATCAGAATTTATAGTTTCAGTTAGAGGCCTGGAAATTACTGTCCAGCAAAGTCAAATAGTACAGGACTTGTACAACCTTTCTAAAAGAGTCAGTAGATGGCTACAAGAATATCTACGTATATGTATATCATAGTCTGCCAGTATAGCCTAACACAACATTTAATTATAAGTGACATCTTCCCATTGGTTGAGCAAACAAGTTGAATGAAGTTGCAGTTACAATTTCACACCCTTAATTTTATAATATTAGGCAACCAATAATAAAGTGCTTTTCCTAATAAAATGTTTAAAAATTCTACTATTATATGGCCTAACATGTGACAAATATACATTTATCCTGGATATTTTTCGCCGCACAAAAACTTAGAATTTATCCAATTGCTTGGCTGCCCTATAGGTGAACGTCGGTGCCAAATAATTCAGACGACGTACTCATTGAACCGTGTGTAGAGGAAGCAGGGTATTGTCAGTCCGCAAAACGCTTTACTATAGAACCAATATGCACTCTGTGGAAAGTATCACATTGATGTGTGTACCACCCTACAATAAATACTGAGATTTCTGGATATGTTAACTCTGTTATAAAATGAGTCTTTCCTGTATGTATATGTGTGTTACATAAATACCTTTAATGGGGGCTAAGACTTGTAAATGTACAAACCATCAGTCATCCCCTACTCAGACGTGTCACTGTCCACATAAGGATGATTTATTTGATTTGGTGTCAACATGTGCTGGTTTGTTTGTATACCTAGTGTTGTAGCAAACATTGCTACAAACACGCTATATTTGAGATTGGTTTCTACCTATTTAGCATTTTTATCACGACGTTAGTACATTTAGGGCAGATTATTTCAGTTCAGGTGAATTATATCTCAAATTTGTATAATGAATGTCGGAATGAAAGATTAACTGATTGTACGAGTGAATAGAGATATAAATATGAGATTCTTTATGTTAACAAAAAAACGGAGAAAAAACATGTGTGCAACGTCACTGAAACCTATCTGATTGAGAGTTACTCGCTTGCTTTGCAAATATTGTGCTGAGGAACAAGAACGCACCAAAAAGTTATCGATATTCGGCGAATGATGTCACTCTAGTGGAACGTGTTCCGAAGCGGTACATGGTGCAACCCGCGGCTAAAATGGTAAGCAATGTCCCATCTGGATAAACTAGCTTGTGAGGAATTCGACTGTCAAGACAAATGATTGATCGTGCATCCCCACGCTCTGATTTTTCGGCGTAAATTATTAGCTGACACCAGTATAGGATTGAAAACCCACAAACAAAGCATGTTTAGACAGAAAATCATTGTATTTACTTGAGTGCTCTGAAAATACGAAAACCTCTCTCTCTCATCAGGTCTCCGGCGTTACAGTGAAATAATAGTAAGCAATCTTAAAAAGGACACTTAATCGGACGTCTTCTCGTCAATACACAACAAATGAATAGGATTTATTTGAAACGTCCCCCTTTATTTAATAGCTAAGTCCTATAGCAGACCTCCCAGTTTCTATAGCCGCACATCAACGTTGCTAATCTTTGCCGCATGACAGACTCAATCGCACCACTGTAAGGTACTGATGCCATTGTTGTAACACCTTCACATGATTAACCGGAACACAGTTGGTAGGATTTCAGTGTTGAGTCAAAGTGACTACATTAAATATGCCATGGCTGTAAGATGAAAGGAGATCATAGTGTCGATGGAGACACTGGTAGTTCTAGAATATAAGTGGCCTTTCTGAATTATGCCCCTGGGCGAAGATAATTAGTCAATTTGTTTTGTGTGAGTGCGATTCGCGAGTCAACAAAAACAGACCAATCCATAGCAGTTATAGTCATTTTCAATGACAATGCTTGTACAAAATAAACAGACTAAATGCATTTCATAGTTTGGCTACAGTTAAAGTACAATCACTTTGGGCAGCTGTGAAAAGCTAAGAATGTTTGCAGCTCCCGTCATGACTCACATTCCTATTGACCAACATATTGGGGTTGTAATACGTTCATTTTTAATCAATCAATGCGAAACAATGTATAAGTCGATTACATATTATTATAGCTATGGAGTATCTTGTTTTGTAAATGCTAGATATTCATTATAGACTCTCACTTTACATAAACCGTTGTGCACATTAATGAGTAAGTATGCAAAGCCATGTTAACTGATTATTCCGACTCACATGTCAATAGTAGATTATTTGAGGGGTATTTTCCGCTTAACTTTCGTATTTTCGTTTATAAAGTCAGCATAATTAGTGACGATTAATGATTAATTTCATGAGAAATTCTTTCAGGAGAGTATAGTAATAAAAAGTGATACACTGTGGTCATTGAAAATCTACCAATACATATATGCACGTAATGTAGTTACCAGGCAGGCGGTGTAGCGTAAACAGTCTACTTTTAATTTGATTCGAGGCTATCGATGAAATTAGAATTAATTGTAGCGAGTATGATATGGGTGAAAAACTCCATATACTCCAAGTCTCCATATAAAAAACAATAACCGTTATTCAATGTATGAACGTATGAATGTTGCCATTATGTCGTATTCGCAGTTATATTATTGATATTTGTTATAATACTGTATTGTCTTTACTTCACAAACTTCTATTGAAAACGAACATATACAATCAGGCAGTGATGCCATTGCTAAACAGGCAAGCTTATAATTCACATATATGTATGTTTCTCTGTGACTGACCGTTGTCTATCATAACGAATTAAATGCGAAGGGTATTCAAAGACTTGCATATAACAGATGAAAAGAGGTCAACCAAATAGCCATTGACATCCGGGTCTTTAACGCCAGGTGTTCTAGGAGGTCTAATTTCAAATCTCTACCACCGGCATTTCTCTGATCTGTTTTCTTTGGACCATTTTACGCTGTTCTCTTATAATATTGCAGTTTTCATTCCCCTATAAACCCTTGAATGATGCCATGAATGGTTAAGTGCTTCTCTGTTCCTTATAAATAAACAGATGAATGAAAGAACGGTCTGGTCTGTTGTTTGTGTCTGACCCTGTACATGCCAAGGGCTAACAATTGTATGACTTATTAATAAATAGTAAGTCACGTTAGGCGATATTTACTAGAATAGAATAATGTGCGTGTCAGTCAGTTGCTATTTTGTGTTTCTCATTCGTTTTGTGTAAATTCGCTGTAGATTCGTCACGATGTTATAATTCTTTGACATGAAAGAATGTTTCAACTAAAGATGTTAAACATTTTAAAATTTTTGAGAAATTACCCTGGTGACTTGTCGTTAATTGTAATCCATTAAGCAAGTTGTTGCTGCGGATACTGGGAATATATAATTATTCAAAGCTTTCACAATCATAAATAAAGAAATCGTATGGAGCTACCAGGTGGGACTAATTCGCCTAGTTAGTTATGAAGACGGTACACAGCACAAAATGTTTATATGAGAGAACGGTTCGAGTCTGTTAGTGTGACCACGTATTTGATGAGCAGTGTTAGCGTGTCAGAGATCGGTACGAGACTGTATGTGTGAACACGTATTTGATGAGCAGTGTTAGCGTGTCAGAGAACGGTTCGAGTCTGTTAGTGTGACCACGTATTTGATGAGCAGTGTTAGCGTGTCAGAGAACGGTACGAGACTGTATGTGTGAACACGTATTTGATGAGCAGTGTTAGCGTGTCAGAGAACGGTTCGAGTCTGTTAGTGTGACCACGTATTTGATGAGCAGTGTTAGCGTGTCAGAGAACGGTACGAGACTGTTAGTGTGACCACGTATTTGATGAGCAGTGTTAGCGTGTCAGAGAACGGTTCGAGTATGTTAGTGTGAACACGTATTTGATGAGCAATGTTAGCGTGTCAGAGATCGGTTCGGGTCTGTTAGTGTGACCACGTATTTGATGAGCAGTGTTAGCGGTAGGAGATCGGTTCGAGTATGTTAGTGTGAACACGTATTTGATGAGCAGTGTTAGCGTGTCAGAG